TTTACTAACAATCCAGTCTGATGACTATTTGTCTTATCTTGGCCATATACTAACAATCCAGTCTGATGACTATTTGTCTTATCTTGGCCATATACTAACAATCCAGTCTGATGACTATTTGTCTTATCTTGGCCATTTACTAACAATCCAGTCTGATGACTATTTGTCTTATCTTGGCCATATACTAACAATCCAGTCTGATGACTATTTGTCTTATCTTGGCCATTTACTAACAATCCAGTCTGATGACTATTTGTCTTATCTTGGCCATTTACTAACAATCCAGCCTGATGACTATTTGTCTTATCTTGGCCATATACTAACAATCCAGTCTGATGACTATTTGTCTTATCTTGGCCATTTACTAACAATCCAGTCTGATGACTATTTGTCTTATCTTGGCCATTTACTAACAATCCAGTCTGATGACTATTTGTCTTATCTTGGCCATTTACTAACAATCCAGTCTGATGACTATTTGTCTTATCTTGGCCATTTACTAACAATCCAGTCTGATGACTATTTGTCTTATCTTGGCCATTTACTAACAATCCAGTCTGATGACTATTTGTCTTATCTTGGCCATTTACTAACAATCCAGTCTGATGACTATTTGTTTTATCTTGGCCATATACTAACAATCCAGTCTGATGACTATTTGTCTTATCTTGGCCATTTACTAACATTCCAGTCTGATGACTATTTGTCTTATCTTGGCCATATACTAACAATCCAGTCTGATGACTATTTGTCTTATCTTGGCCATTTACTAACAATCCAGTCTGATGACTATTTGTCTTATCTTGGCCATTTACTAACAATCCAGCCTGATGACTATTTGTCTTATCTTGGCCATATACTAACAATCCAGTCTGATGACTATTTGTCTTATCTTGGCCATTTACTAACAATCCAGTCTGATGACTATTTGTCTTATCTTGGCCATTTACTAACAATCCAGTCTGATGACTATTTGTCTTATCTTGGCCATTTACTAACAATCCAGTCTGATGACTATTTGTCTTATCTTGGCCATTTACTAACAATCCAGTCTGATGACTATTTGTCTTATCTTGGCCATTTACTAACAATCCAGTCTGATGACTATTTGTCTTATCTTGGCCATTTACTAACAATCCAGTCTGATGACTATTTGTTTTATCTTGGCCATATACTAACAATCCAGTCTGATGACTATTTGTCTTATCTTGGCCATTTACTAACATTCCAGTCTGATGACTATTTGTCTTATCTTGGCCATATACTAACAATCCAGTCTGATGACTATTTGTCTTATCTTGGCCATATACTAACAATCCAGTCTGATGACTATTTGTCTTATCTTGGCCATATACTAACAATCCAGTCTGATGACTATTTGTCTTATCTTGGCCATATACTAACAATCCAGTCTGATGACTATTTGTCTTATCTTGGCCATATACTAACAATCCAGTCTGATGACTATTTGTCTTATCTTGGCCATATACTAACAATCCAGTCTGATGACTATTTGTCTTATCTTGGCCATATACTAACAATCCAGTCTGATGACTATTTGTCTTATCTTGGCCATATACTAACAATCCAGTCTGATGACTATTTGTCTTATCTTGGCCATATACTAACAATCCAGTCTGATGACTATTTGTCTTATCTTGGCCATTTACTAACAATCCAGTCTGATGACTATTTGTCTTATCTTGGCCATTTACTAACAATCCAGTCTGCACAACGAGTCATATGTTA